TCTACATCTTTCAAGATCACTTAGCGAACGTTTTAATGGTTGAATGAAAAGTTGAGGAACCCACTTTGAGACTAATAATGGCTGGAGACGGCTTGAATGGGTAATGAAGAAAAACTTTAATACAACAGCAAATGTACAACGTTTCGACAAGGTTTTGTCATCATCAGGTACAAAACCTTGTCGAAACGTTGTACATTTGCTGTTGTATTAAAGTTTTTCTTCATTACCCATTCAAGCCGTCTCCAGCCATTATTAGTTTCAAAGTGGGTTCCTCGTCATCGAATTTGAAAACAAATATATTTATTTCTTGCTTTTCAGGTTTACATGTCACGCTGTCTTGTAGCCTACAGAGTGCATAATTATTCTCGTGATTCATAGCATGCGCACGTTTTACTGACGACACGACTGTACAAATTGCAACGTTAAGTGCCACTTATGTGTCGTCATTTTAGTGTCTTCTGGCTGACTGACAGACAACACACTACAGTATAATGGTGCGAATGGTTAAAACATGTGACCTCTCCACGTGGCCTTAGGCCCCATTTAAGGGAAATAATGAGTAACATAAACTATTGCTCTCAAATAACGTTACTGTCAAATGTGTACTTCCAAAGCGATATTATCCGTGTTATTTATTGAGGTGACTAACTTAATTTTATTTTGAATAATGTTCACCTGAATAATATAAATAGCAAAATTCGAAATCACGGATTTAGTAATGTTTTTACCATAACTGTTTTTAGCTGATTTAATTTTGAAAATCGTGTAACGCCATCTTTCCACAAATGCTGCCCCAAATGACGCCATCGTTGCCAGCCAACTATTGGTATTGGTAAACAATACTACTACTACTACTACTATTACGACAGTTCTGGGAATTTAATATCAGTTTTGCCCTTGAACGATTATCCAGTCTTTTTGACTAAGATTGTTGTGGTATTGTGTTTTCATGATTACAGTTTTAGTTTTAAAATTTTAGACGATAATGTGAAAAGGGTGAATGATTATAATTTATAGGCATAATTTAACATTTACTGAGGATTTAGAAATAGCAATTTGAAAACTGATTTTTCACAAAGTTCACGCTTATTTCATAGGTTATGGTTAGCCTAGTTTAAACGATCTTAACTGTTTACAGCAGATACATGTACATTAATATATCATATGTAATTGTTTTACATTATAATAGTGATGTAAAGCTATGCATAGACAAACCAATGCATGTGCAACAGACATTAGTGTCTTATAGTTAAAGACTGAGTTAATAAAGACGCTGAATTTCTTTCTCAAGTTACGCTACTATGTAACTAAGAACAAGAATTAAAACGTATTTGATTTTAAATTTAACTATTTATGACTAACTCAAATACTAAAAATAAGACTCCAGCTATATATATTCACACACAAAATAGAAATAAATAAATCATTCGAAAACCACAGTATGTAAAATCACAAGTCTGTAAGTCTTAACTTTGTGAAAATACAACAGAAAATGCATTACAGGCTGGCCTATAGCCTAGGTAATACTCACTAATACTAATAAGGTACTACACAAAGGCATTGCGAATTGTAATAACTGTTAGTCTTAAACAGAAGAAACAGGCTCAAATGGTTGTTATCCGTATTTAACTGCAAAATAAAACATGAAATTGAATAATATTAGTTATGTTAAGAAATTTAAAAAAGTTTTATTTTGTATGTAATCTGACATGGCTGAATTGCTAAGAAAATTGTTTAGTAGTTTTACTTATGAAGAATATAAGAGATTCTCAGTTGTAATTAACTTTTGAAATGAGGGAAGAAGTTTAAGTTTTGGTGAAGAGGAAACTTTTTTAAACACTTTAAAGTTTTAAAGTAACTAACCAAAAAGGGACTTAGAATTTTAAGTATTATTTTTACAAGTTTCTTTATATATATAGAAATTTTCTTATGCATATTTGATTCTTATTTTTAAAGATGAAAATGTGGATGTAAGAAAGTAAAGACTGAAAGACATTAGTTTGGTATCTGCTGGAAGTAAGATGTTGGAATTTATTTGCCAGGAGTCATTTAGGAAAGCATTTGGAAATGTGACATTTAATTAGCAATTTCCAGCATGATGAAAAAAAAAAGCTTTCTTGCCCTACTAATTCTTTGAAAGGGCTTCCAGTTTTTAAGGTGATAGCACCGTAATTGACGTCATGATATGAAATGGATAAAAAAGAATTAGTATGGTAGTAAAAAGCAGAGTTGTGATGAATGGATTTTTTTTTAATTGGGGGGAATGATTCTTGTCAGAAATATGCCTGTTTATAGGGCATTTGTTGTTTTATTATTTATAATACTTATTAGGATAATTGTGAAATATTTACAGATTAGTATTGTATTAATTCTTTGATAATATTAAGATGGATGGAAGAGCTAATTGTCTTTGGAAATGTTTCCATTTCTCAAAAGAACCTTGACAGTCCTAGTAACTGGAAAATGAGATTGAATATTATAGTTAATTACTTGGGGATATGGAAATTTGTTAAGCATTGCTTGTGTGAGAGGAGTATTGGTTTCGAGGAAAATAATAATTATTTAGACATGATTGTGATTGTTGATGAAACCACAGAATACTTTGAATATTTTGTTTTGATCTTTATTTTTAAATGTAAGTGTGGGAATGTTTAATGTAAAGTAAGAAGTATTTTAACCTATGAATAGAAGTGTTAATTTTTGTACATGTATTCTCTGGAGCACAGAGGTAGCTTAGTTCACTTATTCAGAATTGTTTGGGGCTTAGCCACTCTTCTTAGTGGTTTGTTTATTCAAAAATTCTGAAATAATCTGAAATATTTGGAGTAAAAAGTTTTAAGTGTTTAAGATCAGGTGAGGACTTGTTCTTGAAGAAATTTTTTTTTGTTAAATACTTAGTATGGCTTGTTTGATGAGGTGTTGTTGTGATGATAGGATGAATTCTTTTAAACTTCAAAGATAATGAAGAACTGTATTTAATTCAGATATGGTATTTTGTGGCATGTCTTTTGCTGGTAAGGTGTGATATTGGTGGGTTAGTTGGGTGTCATTCTGCTTTTTTTTATGTTTTTGTTTATGTGAATAAAGATTGACCATGATGGGCTAAATTACTATTTGTACTATGTTTTTTTATGTTCATTATAATCACACTGCCTAAGGGTTAAGGCTTTTCTTGACAGGCTAACTCAAATCCCCAGCAGTTCTATCAACTTTCACACACAAAAGAAAATTATTTTTCTACATTTTATATTTTAATTACATAACATCATTTTGCTTTTCTATTTTCTGTGTATTTGAACACTTACTGTATTAAGAGTATTGATATCTTTGTGAGCAGAATTATTTGTTTTGTAATGTTTCTTTCCGATTTTGTTATTGAGTTAGAGACATGATCATTTCTAATTTATTCATTTTATGTCTATTATGGGAAATTCTGCATCAGCCTTTAGAAAATATTGGCTTCAAATGTGGTAGGTACAAGAAGCTTGGGAGAGTTCAAGAGAAGGCTTGATGAGTACTTAGGGAGTCAGGGCTGGATATAATTACATGGGTGTTTGATGAAAGGAACAGGACAATCAAGATGAGCCAAGTGACCCCCTTTTTTGTATCTCATATTTTATGTCAATAATTTGTAGCTGTAATGTATGTATTCAAATCTTTTAACATTCACAGATAATTATGTAACTGATCAATTATTCTTTAACTTGATACCTTATAAAAAATTTCTGAAAATCATGAAAAGAATGGTAAGGTGTGATCTCAGTGTTTAAAATATAACTTACAGACTGGAATGTCTGTTGTTATGGTTGTTTGCAATGAACTATAGTTGTCGACACTTGAGTGAACAAGTTAATTGACTAATAAAAATTACAAACTTATTTTTACATTGTTTTAAATCAAAGATCACACTAGATAGCTCATTAATTAAAAAAAAAAAATCACGATTTTATCAAGGAACTTCATGAGTGTTTCTCTTCATCATACTTTAGCCACTGAATGGAACATTCTTTTGCATTTGTTTTAATCATATTCGTGCTTGGTTTCTCTTTTTGATAACTTTATGTCTACTTTGACTTGATTGCTCATCCTTGACACAAAGTTAAAGCGAAAAAGAGAAGCTTGCTTAGCTATTGCAGGTCCACAACTTACATCAAAAATGGTATGCACATCAAGGGTGATAACAAGCACATAAAACAGGGCACATTTCCTCTTTTTTTTTATAGACTTTTGGTTTTGAATTTAAAAATACATATATACTTAATTAATTAAATTAGTCAATTATTACATTCTATAAAGCAGGGTATGCAATTAACATCTATGGAAATCATTAGGGATTTAGTAACAAAAGAAAAAGAAGGGGAGTATTATCTGACATTATTCTTTATACAGTTTTTCCTTTCTTAATGGGTAACCTCAGCCAGTTTGGTTGAAGAACAGTTTAACTATAAAAGCTTTCTCCTATACTTATTTGGTGTACTATGTAGTAATTAATACTTCCAGCATTCATATTGGAGAAAAACAATACAGTAAAGGTGACAAAATTTACTTCAACATGTTTAGTGGTTCCTGCCATCTAGAAATATGCCTTTATTTTTTTAGTAAGTGTGTTTTCCTGTTTTATTCTTATATTGGAAAATGGGTGTATTTATATTATATATATATATCAGTGTCTGTTTATATATAAGATGAATTATAATTTGACTCCTTTTTTTTACAGCCCTGAACCAAAATCGGCAGCTCATGACTTCATATTTGTGTTCTTATCATCTTGATGCAGTCCCCCAGCCTTATCGATGGAAAGCTACCCATTTTCAGCTTTCCATCATCTTTGACTTTTTATGCTGATGATCAGTCTTCTCATAAGCAAATTCTCACACTCTACAATCCCTATGATTTTCCCTTAAAGTTCAGAGGTATATGTCTTATTTTTTTCCTTTTAAATTTTCTTAGTTAGCCAGAAAATTTCTTCCATATGTAAATTTTCAGTAAACATTTATATATATATAATATTGTAACACCTGTTATACATTTGTTTTGTATTTCATTATGTATATTTTTGCAAATTACTGATGATATAGCACATAAATATTTTTTTTTATATTACATATAACACAGTGACAAAATATATTTCTACATCACAATGAAGTAATCCTTTTACAAGTTAAATAGGCATTTAATATCTAGATCTGATTATTGTTTGACACAAATATAGATTTGGTATCTCCTATAATTGAAAAAAAATATAAAAGTTTGAAAGGTTTTGCTTGTTTGACCAAACTGATAACATTCTTTTGTATTGAAATTATTGTCTTCTCTTATTTTTATTGAAAAGTCAGTGAGGATACGAAGATAATTAACGGAAATGTGCTATAACATAAAAATAAAATGTTATAATATATACATCAGAAAAAAAAACGATCCTGCACACACCTATATTTACATGTATTATTATGAAATCTATGAATATGTATGGAGAAACTAAAAATGCTGATCATAGTAATATGAGTCATTACATCTGTAGGCATTGAAAAGCTGGAAAAAATGTGTTGTCTTAAAAATATCACTAATTAGAGTTCATGTATTATCGTCATAAAGAAAAGAAAAAGTATTTATTTTGTCATAACAAAAACATAAAATTGTAATATCCTTTGAACAGTACCAATAAAAAATTAAGAGTAAAAATAATTTAAGCCTAAAACATGAACATGAATGCATAAAAAATTAAATATAGTATTTAAAAAGAACAGCTAAATAGATAAAACAATTAAAGAAAAATTTCTGTAGAAGTTAAATGTACATTATGCATATTGTTATGTTATTTGAAGATAAAGCATATTTGGAAAACACTGAAGATTTTGTTCATAAGTCATTTCAACAAGTATACCTAGCCCAAAGAACAGAAAAATACCATGTTAAATGTACAACTTTTTTTCTTTTGCGAATTTGTTTTTCCTTTTTTTTTTGGAACTGCTGACAAGAGGGAAGGCAACTGGTGGCAGCACCCATCAACAAAAATTTTTTTTTGTTTTTGAACTGATCACTAGAAGGAAGGCAACTGGCTGACAGCATCTGCCACCAAATTTGATTTTTTTGCTTGTAGGTACTATAGTTTGAAGAGCACCACTAACTGATTAATCAGATTTAATCAGTTAATGGGGCTATCAGTTAATTTATCAGCAATGTTACTAATCACAAAGCTCTAATTGTAGCTAATTCTCAGTTTTGTCTTTCTTGCAAAGACATCATATATTTTCGAGGCATGAGCAATGAACACTTTTTTAAAATTGCAGATATTATTTTAGCATACTCCATCCTAATGTTGTCCTTCAGATGTTTCATGGTTTGTAACCAGTTGCAGTAGATAAAATGCTTCCTTAAAGACTACAGACAATAGGGTATTTATCACGCTTGAATGTGTATATTGTATCACAGTAAAATATTATGATTAAAAAAAGTCATGAAACACTCAAGCTCATGTGACTCCAAGCCATATTTGGTCATGGTTGGCTAGCCTTAAGAAAAACTAGCAGAAGCACCATATGGGAACTACGTGGGCAAACCTATGTCACACAAGGTAAATGCAAATGGTGACAGCAGGTGAAAAGGAAGATAGATGTAATGTGTCAATCATACTGTATATGTTTGAACCAGAGCTTGCAGACGACAATGTGTCTAATGTTGACATGTTGCCCGAAGTAGACGACGAGTACTGGCAGTTGTCTGATCTTTCTTGGTATGGAATTGTTTCAATAGTTATACGTTACAAGGTCACAAAAGATTGTTTTACACTGCTAATGTCAGGAAAATGGAATGAAATTTACAGCCGTCAGTGTGGTCACATGGGCAATAATACAGTAAATCTATGAATGAATTATAGTCAATATTTGTTTTTTCAAGTGATGAATCTATATCTAGATGTAGATCTAATATCAGCTGATGGACTTTCGATACTGTATTCTGCACATGCTCTGATTTGTATATATACGACTAAGTATACATTAGGACTGGAAAAGTAAACAAAGTTTGGATAATATTTCAATAATCAATGTTATAGATCTAGCATTTTTATGTTGCATATTGATATCTCTAATGAAATTTCATAAAAAAGTGTTATAAACATGAAAAATAAATAAAAAGAACAGCCAATTGTTTGTCCATGCCGTTTTTTGGGTAATAGCTGAAAGTGTAATTTCATAAACATTTTTGTTTTAGTAGATCTACTGGTGTGTTTATGAAATCTTAATGGTTGCTGACAATTCTATATCGCACTTGAAACATTAGCTAAAACCTGATGTGCCACTGGCATGAGCCTCTCTGCTGCTCGGATCTCCCCTCAAACTTCGGATACACACTGGGCACTGCATCTTTCTTTAGTGCCAGTTTTTTTTTTTTTGCAAATTCCACTGCATGCATGGAAGTTTTCGGCAGATTCCATTTATCGTGAGTTCTTGATACGAACTTTGTCCAGGCAATGTGCCATCTTCTGTCTGATTTAGATAGAAACTCATGCAGAGATACCTCCATTTCCTTGGGAATGTTCCCACATCTATAAAAAAAACACAGCGAAAAACCATAGTTGTTTACTCATGAATAACTGTATTCACGATGTCTGTCAAATGAAATTTGTCCAGAAAAACAACAACAAATTGTTTTCATGTAAACAAACTGACAGTTTTCCACACACCTAGTGAAAACTGACTGCAACTAGCCTTGTTTACCTTGAGTGATGTCACTCGTTTCTGACTCAATTTTTTCAACTAAGCGATCACAAAGGCTGACTGTTGCACTAACTTTGGGAGCTTGTAGGGCCTGGGTGGGGGCAAATTATTGAAAAATGACTTGGTTTCAATTTTTAACTTATATTTCTACAGAATTTAAATATATATATACAAACTAATTGTGTTTTTACTCTCCGGCATCTTTAAGAAGAAATTTAAAGGTGATATAATGGAGTTTCTTGGTGGCTATTCCTATAGGCCTCTCCTGTCACTCAACATTTTTAGAAATGTGACATCAAAGAAACTGGGGTAATATGGTGTTTTTTTTTTTTCTTGTTGGGATCATTCTCTGATATTTCCACCTCAAAAAAGTATTGTACTTGCAGACAAAAACCTTTTAATTTAGACTCTGAAAATTTGTTAATTCTGTTACTGGCTTTTTTCATGAGATAAAAATTAAGACTTGAAGAAAGACGGCCTGTAAAAGAAGGGATTAAAGGTTCATGTACTAATTGATTAATGAGCCCATCAATTAATCAATTAGTAAATACCACTAATTACCCACCTCTACCTATAATGCGGTACAATTAACATTTTGTAAAACCACTTAACCTTTCACCACTGGCTAAATCATGAAAGCATTCTAGTAACTAATCTTAAGATATGCTTCACCCAAAAATGATTTACTCTTAATGAAACTAATCGAAATAATTTTTGGGCTTAAATAGGGTTTAAATTATTACAAGTGCCAAGACAAAAAACTGAGTTATAGTATTATTGATAATTGAAAATATAAATTATTGATATTATTTGAAGGAATACACATACAATATAAAATGTGAAGCAATTTCCTATTTATGTTTATATTCCTCTGTGGAATTTTATACACCAAGTATAATTAGGTTTATACTTACATATCTATACAACAATGTGGTCTTATTGTTCCTTCTGGGTCCACTACAACAAATTTTTTAGGTGCGGTACACAAAACTGAAAGCAAGAAAGTGTACCATCATTAGATACAAAATTAACTTCTTTTGGAAATTAACATGTATTTATCAAGAAAAAGCTATATTATTTTGAACACAAAATAACATAGCCAAAACTTGTTTTAACAAATTCGTTTTTTAAGCAAAAACAAAAACATACATTAAATTTAATTAAAACAATTTAAAAAAAAAACAACAACATGGTATTAACATTGTTTATTTTAATGTAGTTTTTGGATTTTCTTTGTTTTCTTATGATAGACCAACTTGGTGGATAAATCGTTAATGTCAAAAAATTATCACCAAGTGATTGCTGTTATGTTTGTTTTTAAAATATGCAATAACCCCATACTGATCTTTTGTAAATCTAATAATAAAATATGTTTTACTATCACTGATAAAAGTATTGATGATTGCAATTACAAACAGTTAAGTAGCCAATTAACCAGTTTATTTGTGTACATTGTTTGAATAGGATAAACATAATGTTCTATGAAGATTTGAATTGTTAGAATATCTTGCAGTTCTCTGCCATACTCACTAAACAGTAAAGTTAAATAAACTTATCTGATTTGATGATGATTTTATTTAGTGAACATAATAAAATCTCATATTTACAAACATTGAAATTTAATAAAACCGTATTATATGTATTAAAAAAGTAAAAACACTGTAATTAAACAAAGACCAAACATCAACAACATACCTTTATTAAGCCTTAAGCAGTCTCCAATTGTGTGACTTCCTTGTTTCATACTGTATACATATTCCTGTGTATAGATAAACTACTTATACCTGATGATGATAAAACCTTCTCCAAACAACTTATTCAACTTATTTTTAAACTGTACAAGTTTGCCTTATCTCAATTAAAAAATTTCTGTAGCATTTAAACATAATTTAATACATAAACACTTTCACAATTCACAAATGAAAGAAACTGAAAGGAACATTTACAGGAACTATAAAAATAATCTTAAACCTATATATTTATTCTGCTAATACATGATAGCTCTATCCAAACATATTTAAACCTTCTTTATAGCTGTTTTGAAAACTGTGTTTCATTAGTAAGTAGTCAAACCACTTGTAGCACCATAACAAAGTTACAACCAAGACCTGTACAAAAACTAAAGGATGCACTTGAAAATGGATAACATATTCTCAAGGGGTTATAGATACTTAGCAAAAACAATTATTCTGTGGGATAGGCAGAATAATTATAAAATAAACTGACTAGTAGGTTTTTTTGTTTACAAACAAAACTCTTTGCAAAAATGAAAATATGATTTTTTTTTTCTTTGTGAATTACACTAAATAAATGTCAAAAAATGACAAAATATCGATCATAAAATATTTTTGAGCTAAAATTGTAGAAATATAGTTACAGTTAAGGTATGAAGTTGTCTTTAAAATTTGTGACTGAAAAAATTTTACCATGTAGCAAAAAAAAAGGAAAAGCCAGAGGAAATTATGTCTTCAGATTTCAGGCACAATAATTTATAATTAAGTTGCTTTTTTTTAATCCTAAACATTTTACATGAAAATGTATTATATTCACAATGCAACTGCATTGTTTAACACTTAAGAAAATAAAAGATTTATTCAGTTATCAGTCACCTGTTGTAACAGTACTGTGTACAGTTTTCCAGACATAATATTTATGAAGTTATAAAATTTTATGTTCTTTTAAACTAGTATCCTAAATTAATTTAGGTATTTGAATAATATTGTGGCATTGTGCCAAATTTATTATTTGATGTCATACAGTGGACCAACTGTTTGATGATGATATTACAGGTTTCATTTCTTTAGATTACTAAATGTAAAATAGTTTAAAAAATCCATAAATACTATATATCCACACCCTCATTATAAGAGGCTTTACTGTATTTCTTCGCTGTGCTGACCCAAGCTATCCTGATGAGACTTAAATAGGGAAAAATGGAGTGTACCAAAGAGTGAACCAAAGAATATAATAGGTTTCTTCATCCCAGATTATATTTTCAATTTTACCTTTGATGAAAAGAAAATGAATCTTTAATATCATCATTTTATAGACTTGTTATTAAATAAAATTCAGTATTGTTTTACATGTTTATAAGCGTGTTTATGATAAGGTGTGTTAATTGTTTAAATGTTAGCCAAATTGTTAAATGTCTTGAATTTTGCTTAATCTATTAAATGTTAAAAATATATAATGAGATATACATTTCATCTTAACCTTGCATTTGTAAAAATACATCATGCTGTCATTCAGTTTTGAACAAATTCTCTATATTGCTATAATTAAAAATAAAATTAGTAGAAAATACACAAAATTATGATTCCGATACTTCCCTCCTCTCAAAAGATTAGCTATTCTCATTCATTGCTGCCCCCTATCTGCAAACATTTTCTTTATGCATTCCACAAGCCTTCTGCTCCCTTCTATTGGAATCAAGTGATTCCAACGTGTCTCTCATGCAAATCATCGTGCGTCACCTCTCCATCAATAGGAGCATAGTACACTCATATGATGCATGTGACTACCTTTATGCGCCTCTACTGAACAATCACTTCTCGTTTGGCAGCACTTGTACTTGGACGTCTTTATTTTTGTCTTGCTTTCAGTTTCAGCTGTAGTTATTTCTCAAAGTGGTTATAATTTTGTAACATACCCAGTTTTCTTGAACGTTGCATTAATTCTATCTAATTCTAGTCACCTTTATTTAATACATTTACTGTTGTCAACTATTGAAGCATGAATTCCAAAGTTAATGTCACCAATTTCAACAGGCACTTTATCACAGGCTTCAGGTGCGGGCTCACACTTCCCACCCTTCCTCCCCACACACTTCCGGTGCTTCCGTTTTCTGCCAAACTTTAAAGTGGTAGTTTGGTAGAGGTACAAAGAGGGAGTCACATGCATTACGTGAATGTACTATGCTCCTATTGGCGGAGAGGTGATGCATGATAATTTGCATGAGAGACATGTTTGAATCACTTGATTCCAATAGGGGAGAGCAGAAGACTTGTGGCATGTGTAAAGAAAAGTTTGCATATAGGGGTCAGCAATGAACGAGAATAGCTAATCTTGTGAGAGGAGGGAAGTACTTATCGGAAATACATTTTCAGAATAGGAAAATTATAAATCATAAATATTTTATTTATATATATAAATAAGCAAAACAAGAAAACATAAAAAAGCATTTGTCAGGTTTTCTAAATATAGCAATTACTATCAGAAATTGTAGTTTAGTCACTTTCAATTGGAACTACTTTTTTGACACATTGTCAGCATAATCTTTTGCTATGTAGAGATGCAATAAATTGATGTGAAACCAACAAAGCTATAGCAATGTCATCTTTGGGAGCTCAAAATAAGTAAAACCCTTTTTAGTTATATATTTTCATAGGAAAGGAAACTGAAACCAAAAAATACAATAAAATGAAGGCTGTGCAGAGCTAAGCTACAGTGGCAGTAGCTGGATCTAGTGACAATGTATTTGTTGAATTTACAGAAATATGTGGTACTTTATATATATATAAATATATATATATATATATATAAAGCTATTTGTACAAGAAAGTAATAGCACTTTATAATTTTTTTTATAATTATTCTTATAACATTTAAATGTTTAAAAAAGTTTTTCTAAAAAGTTTAAGTAACTCTCCTAGTTTATGACAATGTCAGGGCCTTAAGTGTTGTGTCTTTAACTACAAAGTTACTCAAATGCTTTGTAACAAACCAAGGGAAATGAGTAATCAAACCCCTTTTTATTTATTAAGATTTAAAAGTGCTTAACCAAAGTAAAAAAAAACTAGTAGTTTTGATATTTTTCAACTAGCCCAAACAACATAAAAACTCTAATAACTTTATCATACAAAGTTTGAAAATCAGTAGGGAATTAATATGTATAAAACTACAAAATTTATTTTGGTAATATTATTGTGTTATCAAGTATTAGTATTTAATGTATTTACACTAGCTGCTGTAATGTTTCAATTTTACAGTGGTATTTATGTTTATGTTTTTAAAAATTAGCTAAGTGATACTGTAATCAAATTTCAGTTTATTTTACATGAAAGAAGAGACTTCCACTATAATGGTATAGTATCTTGGATTAATAAGTGTTGAACATACAGTCCTAATGTAACCTAAAAATTCAAACAAAGTTAAAATAATGTTAATACATTATGTAAATGATTAGCTCAGTCAGGTTATCATTCAGCAAATTCAAAGGCTATATCTTTATTTCTGGTAATTTGATTGATATGAAAATAAAAAAGTTAATAGCAAACATATCAAATTATTTAATCAAAATTTAAGTAGTTCTAATTGTTTATAATCATATTTAGAAAGAAAATTATAGCATTGGTAAACAGTATGCCCGTTTTTAAAATATTTTTAAAACATTGTTACTTATACAGTAATACTACTTGCGTTATCACTTATTTTAGACATCAGTGATACGAAAAACATCTTTTTCATGAGAATTCCAACTTCTAAGAACTGTAGGTGTCTTAACAATACTAACAGATGAAAACAAATTCTAAAGTCTAGACACATTGCTAGTGTCTGCAAAAAAAAGGTATGAAAACTTACCATCGCAAGTTTAATTTATGTTCATATTGTGGTATTAGCTTATAAATAGTCAATCATTGGCTGTGGACTCCAGCTGTGTTCATATCAAAAAAACATTTCTGGTAATTAATAGTCCTATCAAATAAAAACACTGATGTCTAATGTTTTTTTTGATACTCTGTGGTGGTGTAAGGACATCTGGCTGATTTTATTAATTTCTGAAAACATTGAGTGGTTCAAACCCATAGATCTGGGCTTATTTATACAACATTGAATAATACAGTTATTGTTTTCAAAAAATGGGCAGCATGGGTCTGGTGCCCCTTACCTGGACCCCTTCTTCTAGATCCATGCCTGCTTATACAATGTTAAAGAATGGTTATTAATTCTGATAAGGTACTCTCCCTCAGCTCACAAAATTAGCTTTTCTCATTTTGAACTGCCCACTATTTGCAAACTTTTTCAGAAATGCATGCCACAAGCCTTCATCCTCCTTCTGTTGGAATCCAAAGTTCCAACACATTCACATGCAAATCATTATGCTTCACCTCTCCACCAATAGGAGAGCACTACTATCACGTGACGCTTGTGACTCCCTCTACGTGCTGCTACCAAACTATCACTTCTTTTTTACATTGTTCAGTTACCTTATAGTGGTTTACTTTTTTCATTTTTCATATTTTTCTTAACTTTATTTACTACACTTCACAGTTGCAGAGTTAATATTTAAATAAAGCATTACTTCCTCTCCACTGCACTTTCCCCCCTTTTTTCCAGTGGAGTACAGGAGTCCTTACCACTTACCAGTTTCAAGCCACTGGGGTGGTTGACCATGGAGGCAACCTGCTGGATGGCTTCCACAAAGATGGCTATAACCATTCAGTTCAGAGTAGGGTGGTGGTATTCTGCTGGTGTAGAGGGTGTTACAAGATCCTCTGGATGAGTAACTATTTCTCGGAGTTGAGATGCCCAAATGCAGTTCACCCCTCCGATTGGGTGCCTTCCTCCTACCCTTGCATGGATGTTGGCACCCAGTGAGTGAGGTTTTGGAGATTGAGTGAACCAATAACACAAGTCCTCACACAGGTTTTGGGTTGTCCATCTTCCCCTCTTGACTTATCTTCTGTGTTGTGGGTTGCAGAAGGTCTATCTGGTCTGTTTCCGTTTCTGTCCTGGGTTTTCCCTCATTTGGTGATAAGGTTGTTACCTACCTGGGGTCATTTTGGGCTGGTTTCATGGTCACGGGGGTTGAGTGCATGGATTCTGGATGACACATTCCCAGATCCCTGGCATTAGGCTACCCTGTGAATTCCTGGAGTCAAATGTTAGGTTCTCTCTTGACTCTGGGACTTGAGGTGAAGACAGTATGATCCTCATCCTACCCTCGTGAGGATTTTGGTACTCAGCGAGTGAGGTTTTGGATGTAGTTGACTTACCGAGTACGGTCCGTCTCACCCTAGCCACTCTACACCATGGGACACATCCTCACTTGCCCACTTTCCATTGTGGGATTGAGTGATTCTGATTTATGTTTGAGATCACATTGCTAAACTATCCTCTCTCACGCGGATGTGCTCCCTTTTATGTTTTGCCATGTCTGGTCATCCTAATCATGTTTATGTTCCTGATGAAGAGATACCTGGATCAGGTGTGGTGTGGTACCCCTCCTCAGATCATCTGATCTGTTCATTTCGGAGATGTCCAGGGGATACGTCTATGCTTCCCTCACACTGGTACCTTCTCCATTTCAATGTGGGATTCAAGCTAATCTTGTGAGTGGAGGAAGAGCACCTTATCGGAAGTTATAATTTTCCTAAATGAAAATGTATTTCCAATGGGTACTTCCCTCTGCTCACACTTCCCACCTATCCTCCTCACAATCTTCCGGTGCTTGCATCTTCTGCCAAACTTCGAAGTGATAGTTGGTAGTGCCGTGTAGAAGGAGTCAGATGCATCATGTGATAGTAGTGCTCTCCTATTGGTGGAAAGGTGATGCATGATGATTTGCATGAGAGATGTGTTGGAACTTTAGATTCCAACAGTGGGAGGATGAAGGCTTGTGGCATGCATTTCTGAAAAGTTCACATATAGAAGGCAGCACAAAATGAGAAAAGCTGATCTTGTGAGTGGAGAGAAGTACCTACCAGAAATACATTTACACTTAGGAAAATTATAATTTCCAGAAAAAATAGAACTGCTTCCCTAGATATATGTTTTAAACAACATTAAATAATACAGTTATTAATTAAAAAAAAAAGGATGGAAAGGTCAGGACCCCTTCTCTGAATCCATGCCTGCTTAAACACATTAAAGAATATAGTTACACAATTATAGTTTAGAGACATAAGACAATGTAAAAAATAGTAAATTTACACTATTTAACATTATGTAGTCAGAGAATTGGAGATGGTTGCTGCAAGCCATTTGCCTTCCCTTGTGTCAGCAGCTTAAAAGAGAGGGTGAGCAAGTTTAGTGGCAATGGGAAATTCTCAAATCATGAAGCATGTCTCTCCATCTGTTATGTAGTTTATGCTTAACATCAGACAAACAATATGGCAATATTTCGATTACTTGGATAGTTGTAATATTGATAAACAGTAAATAATCAGAAATCCTTATTTAATTTACTTTATTATTTTTGTGACAGTTAATTTAATTGTAATTTTGATTATTTTCTTGTTGTTGATACCAGGTAAAATTAGATTGGACAAGATGTTTTGTACTGCTGCATGTTAAGACTGCTTCTGCATTCAATCTGGATTTTTCTGGAAGGATGGGTAAGGGGGGGGGGGCTATATAGATTTTGAGGGATCTTATGCTGTGGACCAGAGCTTCAGAAACATTGCACACAAGTGAACAAGGTTTCTTCCAAATTTAGCCAAAAGATGAAGATTTCCCTTGAATTTGAAATGTTATTTTTACCAAAATTGATTGTTAATACACCATTGCTGTTTGAGGAAAATTAAAATGTTTTAAAGGTTGTCTTTCTATATCACCCCTTATATTAAAGCCAAGTGGAAATTTATTGTAGTTTATACAACTTAGCATATTTAAAAAACTAAAATGAGTTATATAAACATAGAACTTTGATAGTACAATGACATTTGTTGGTTTTACTTACTGTTCTGTAGAGAAGCTATGTTAAACATGATACACTAGCTCCAGCATCTGTACACAATGTGGTAAACTAAAGATCTCTGAAAGAATTAGTCTTTTCTTTATTAATGTGTGTGTTGATTATATATTAGATATTTCATATATCAAAGTAAAGTAAAGCTTATTTAATACGATGAAATATGGTGTATGTTTCCACACCGAGAAATTAGCAGTAAGCAAAGAGTGAAGGTAACAGTTTGTACTTGATGATTTTGGTGATTCTGCAAACCTTCTTGGACATTTAAAGTGTGTTTCTTAAATCAAGCTTTTGCTTTTTTTATCAGTAGTGTAAGTGCAATCATTGATTATACCAAAAATGGTTCATTTTCTGGCTTCAACCAAGAACTTGGTTAATATTTTTCATGATCAATTATTAATTGATTATAACAAAACAAATGAAAAAAGTACATGACTTTTATGCTCAATTCACTCTTGTAGAAGAAACAAAACTTCATTCTGGGTAAACCCCTAGTGAAAATTCTATTATTTTCTATCTTGTATTAATTATACGTGATGTTGTGGCAAATTTTGATGCCATGTGTATGAGTGAATGTAATTGATTAATGAGTAGATATGTCAAAGTAGAATCGAGTTTAGAGGAATCTAGGTCATGCTATCATGGTGGCAAATGCTGAACCCTACAGTGGAGAAAGCCAGACTGACTAAGAAAATGTTCAGTAAGATTATTCCAAATCATTAATTACATAAAACAGTTTAATTATTAGTGACAGTGCTACCAATAATTGATTTATAAGTAATAATTTTATAACCAATCTCCTTCACCAGTTCTCAGAGAATTTAAATATTTCCTTGCTTATATGGTTAATAATCTTGATTATACTACATTGATAATTTGGTATCAAACCTGAGAAGTTTTACAAAAGAACACAGTATGTTTCACTAAAGAGTTTTTTAAAGACGCTTGTAGAAAATGGTATACCCTATTGATATCAATATCCTGGAAGATGTGGCTTAGTGATTAATTTTAATTACTCTTATTTGTAAATATACTGTCTATCATATTCTTTATTCAGCTTCTTGTAGCTTGAAGCTACACCAAATCTGATTTGTTAAAAGCATTTGTAATTTCTGGTGGATAGAACATGCTTATTTCATTAAACCTATTTAAATTGAAAAGTGACATATTATGTTTTGATAAAAGATAGTTATAGGCATTCTTATGTTGTTAGTTCTGGTTACAATCTACTTTTTTTGCTGTGTTTGTGATTTAAAGTTGTGGGAATTAAGACCTACTCCTTAGTAAGTAGCATGACATATTTAGTTAACATACTGTCTTGTTTAAATTAAATTAAGATGTTGTTAAATTTATATTTCATTATGTGTATATAACCATTATGTTATTTCCCTCAAACACCTTAAAAAAAAGAAAGCCTCTTTAAATTTTTGAAATTTATTTTTATTTAAAATGACTTATAAGTATCATTAACTTTTTAATGGTAGAGTTAAATGTTTGATACAGGATATGTTTGTGTTGTTTGAACTGTCTGAAGTTCTAATAACTTGAGAAGTCTGACAACTTTAAAAATTTTGTATTTCTGTTATGTTAAATTTCAACAAAAAGCAATTTAACCTTCCTTAGAATGAGCATATTATTTAGATGCTATAGTTTAATCTTGGAAGCATTTGCCATTTTGTACAAGTAATATCATGTTTGTCTTTGGTACATATGATCTCATATTATATATAGAAGCTCTATAGTAAGTGACCTACATGACATTCAGCACTTTATTGTTAGTGAAATTTGTGTAAAGGTTTGAAGGGTACATTTTTACTCTGTATGAAATTATTATTCTTAACTTTCTTTAATGCAAACTGGAGTTTATTATGAGACATTTCTATAATGTGAATAAAATTGTGACATATACTTGAACTGAAATAACTTAATTGTTAGAAAACAGGAGGGAATATTGGCCCATCAATCTGGTACAGATTCATAGATGATGTATTTGGAGAGTAGAACATTAATTTAGAGTCTCTCTTTTTAGTTTTCATGAGTTCTTGAATACTGTTCACCCATTCATAAAATTTACACTTGCTTATGCCATACCAGGTAGAAATTTACCATTGCTAGATACTACAATTCATGTCAGGAATGGGGAGATCATTACTTGTATTTTCAGCCATTTACTAAAGCCCTTTGTATGCATATCCACTCTCATCATCCCCTGCTGTAAGAAATAGGTGTCATTATTGGCTACCTCCATAGAATTGATCAAGTTTGTAATAACAAAGAAATGATGGAGGAGGTTAGGGAAAACCTGATGACTCTTTTAAGAAAAAATGCCTATCAACAGGAATTTATACAAAACATAATAGGAAATTTTGATAACCAAAAGAAAATTGAACCGTAGAAATATAGAGAGCACATTTAAAGCTTAGGCTACTTGGGTGATTCCATATATAAGTGATAATATCACCACAAAACTGAAGAGAATAATTAGAGCATCAAACTTACCTATTAAAATAGTACAAAACCAGGCATCTTCCTTAAATCATTAATAACAAGTTCAGCATACAAGAAAGAAACACGATGTATGAAAAATAACTGTAAAGCTACTAAATATGGACTACATGATAGATGCCATAGAAAAAACGTTGTTTATGAAATAACTTGTGGCAGATGCTCTAGTACGTATATAGGAGAAACTTCCTGACCCGTACTTGATTGAATATCAGAACATGTGCGTGATATTCAAAACATCAATAATAAGAATGCTATTGCAGAGCATTATGGAAAAGTACATGACCTACCACAAGCGGATAACATCTTATCAGATGTTAAGATCTTATCTAAATGTCATAATTTTCTGGACAGAAAACTTAAAGAATCCACTTTTAATCAAGAAAAGTAAACCTAAATTGAACAAATACAAAGGTTGGCCTTTAGTGTAGAGATGTTAATGGCATTTTAATATGTTGAACTTTGATAAAGTCTCTATACATACACTAATAAGGGGTGAAATATATGTTCAGACATTGTTATGTATTGAAATAATTAGATGAAAAAATACACACCAATAAAAATATGAAGAAATGTTTTAGATACATAACATATTCTAAGTCCAATGATGTTAATAGTTTACTTATTGGTTTACACGTTATTTATTAGCACTGTTGGTTTGATTTGTCTTAACAATAAAAATTCAAGAATGTTTGATTTACGAATTATAGTGTTCCAATTTAGATTTAATTGGATTAGTGAACTTATAGGATATCGATAGCTCCTGACAAAGCCGTAATAGCGAAAGATTGAACTAATAAAGTTACATTCTAGAGATATAGGTCATAATTTTATTTACATCTGCATGAAATTACTTTTGATATTTCATTTGTACATGATGCATTATTATAATTTTCTGTGTTTTCGAACAACTGTAGCCTGTGATTAAAATTAAGTTGTATGAAATGTAATTTAATTTGCAATTTAATAACAGGGAGTTTTCTGATTGAGTAAAAAATTAGCCAATAGAATGCGAGGAACTAAAAATTTTTAAGGAGATAGACTTCCATATGTTTGACACTTCTGATGATAATTACATTTTAGATTGATAAGTGATAATCTGTTATTGTAAATTTGACTTTTGAGGCATGCAGAAGCATTATTAAAGGCATTTTTTAAGAATATAGATGAGATATGACTATTTTACTAGAACTTTAAACAATACATATTTCCTATTGACTAGTGTAATTCGTCATAATGGTATCACTCAGAGCAACTGTGGTATCACTGACAAGTTCAGAATTCAGGTGCAGGAACATGGACAACGTCAAGTTCTGGGAAAGAAAGATATTCCAGCCACAGTGCTTCTGTCCAAACCTGACAATAGTGCTTCTTCCACTGTAGAGTCAGAACAGTTTGAACAACTGTCAAAACAGTCTTTGCCACTGATGCAAGCTAGACAGTATGCTATTAATGGAGCACAAGGTGCAGTGTACATTTATGTTCATTCTTTGTAGACATATTTTCCTATGTTATTGATTGTATGTGACAATGGTACATAAGGTAGATAGTATTTTCTCATTATATAACAGTTTAACATGTAATAAAACTTTCTTCAAAAATTAAGTATGATGTAAGGATGGCAGTGCAGGCAGGGATGAATACACAAAACTATATAAGATTCACTACATAAGTAGCCAAATCTTTCCAAGAATAACTTTTATCTACAATTAAATGTTGAATTCCTATCATTTGTGGCCCGGCATGGCCAGGTGGACTCGCAATCTGTGAGTCGCAGGTTCGAATTCCCATCCCACCAAACATGCTCGACCTTTCAGCCATGGTGCATTATAATGTGACAGTCAATCCCACTATTCGTTGGTAAAAGAGTAGCTCAAGAGTTGGCGGTGGGTGATGATGACTAGCTGCCTTCCCTCTAGTCTTAAACTGCTAAATTAGGGACGGCTAGCGCAGATAGCCCTCGTGTAGCTTTGTGCGAAATTCAAAAAACAAACAATCCTATCAGTTGCATGATGAATTCAGGTTTGAATAAAAGTATTTAAACTGGATAGTGCTATATAGTCTTCCAGTGGCTAATAACCATAAGTTTATAAGATTGACTCAGTACTTACTGGCTATTTATGTAGGGATTTTTTGTATGGTTTTGTGTATTCATCTGTACCCTGTTTCTGTACTTTTTGGCATTGCCATCCCTACATCATACTTAATTTCTGCAGGTTTTTTATTACTTGTTTCCTCTCTTTTAAACAATTTCATTGAAATAGGTTGATAAGTGATCATTTGTTTTATTTTTATAATTCAATAGTAATTTATATTGTTAATATCACATCAGTTTCTCTAATTTTGGATTACACTGGGGGGCCAGTGAAGTTGGAATGGTTCCTCCAGGATGATACAAATACCTCAGAGTGCTGGACCAACATTAAGGGGATATTTACAGAACCCACACCTTCCAGCTTTACCCCAACTCATTGCATCTGCATACAATAGACTCCACCACATGCTAGGGTCATGTTGATTAATAGGGAGGAAATAAAGTATGTTACTATGCACACTATGAAAATGTAAAGAAAAGAAGTCTGCTATATAATGTATTGTTTTGATAATTAAGAAACTGGTGTTTTTAAACTCAGACATTAATAACATGTACACAGAGCTGCCAGTTGCATAAATACTTTGAATATTAATTTAGGTTGTTCTTTCTTTATATATTCTTACTGAAACTGTTTTGGCAGATATCATGTGTGAAATGAAAAATCACAAACGGTCATTATATAAGAACAATTTGTTCTGTCATCTAGCAACCAGAAATGAAACTGATATTTATGAAACATGGAAATAATATATACTTATAAACTGAACGCTAAGTAATAATTTTCTTTTTTATTATTTCCCCACAAAAATACATGAGGTAGAAGAACAGAATAATATTACTGTTACACAAGATGTGAAACACTTGATATTGGCAATAAGGTGCTCAAGTAAGGCTATAACTCAACTTTAGCAGTTATTTGTAAGCATCATAGAGTGATAGATTGAATGCAGAAGCCATTTTTTTTCTTGGCTCACTATTATGCTTAGTGATATTTTCTTGTGTAGACATTTGGATGTAGAAACTTTCATAGCCAAATATGTACAATTTTAAGTTTTATTACACATGCAAAAACTCACTGCTTTTTTCAGCAAACTCAAATATCTTAGTATGAATTGTCAGCAGTAGTCATTATTTTGTGTCACTACATGTTTTATCAATGTGATATGAGAAAGATTCACAGTGCAGACTTCCATTTGCTTAGACAAACTGGATGAAGAACAGTTATGTTTTGAATTAAACAGTTTTACCAAATTTTTTTTATAAAGTGCATAATTTCGTAGAGGTTGCAATTTCTTCACATGTGCATTATTAACAATATCAAAAGTTGTGTAATTGATACTCTATGTTGTTCCAAATGTACCTCTGATATATCTTTAATGATTTAAGCCAACATTGAATTTTTGTTAGTCATTTGTATAGATAAATTTAACAACCAATTTTCTGATTTGCTGTTTATACATTTTTAAACACTTTAATATTGTTTAAGTGCAAAGAATTTTTCAAGAACAAAGTTAAAAAATAAAAAAATGATTTTTATGTTAATGCATTGAAAAAAAAAAAAGTACCTGTTGGCACATGTAATTTCAAAGAAGGCTAATATTTGTAATATGAGGTGGAGGTACTTTGCAATCACTAATAAGTGTGATATCAGTTCCAATCTTTTAAGTTAAAAAAACAAGTGCCTAAAGAAATAGTGGTTAAAGTTGATTTTTTCTAATTAGTTATAAAACAAACAAGACTGCAAAAAAAAAGGGCTTATAGTTAATGTTGGTGATGTCTGTTTTTAACAGGAAGAAGTAACTCGGGACCGAGTGTAGTTGTAATATTAGCTGCCATTGTTTGTATATTAGCCTTGATTTTACCAACCAGAGGAGATCCAGAAGGATTCCTTCCTGTTTATCTTCATCTTAGTATGCACCAAAAACTTATTGCTGCCTATACCCTAGGTAAGCATCATTGAGCTACTGAAGCTGGTAGTTTGTGTTTTATAGACTTTGTTAAAAATCTTATGATAATATGTGAAAATTCTTTAATATGTTATACACATATACAAGGTGATTCTCCTTAATTGAAACACACGGAAAAACAACATTGCTCTATATGTTCTTTCTCTCTCATTCAACTGTTTCAACCATTTTTCTGTTGTTAACTTACAACTATCTGATGCATTCTGTAGCTTAAAGTATGGTGTTTTTGCAAGTATTAAAATACATTTTGCTGTGTGCGAGCTGAACTGTAAATGAATAAACTATTTAAGTGTATAGATTCTCCCCCTCGTACTTAGAGCATTTGGAATTATATTTAAAGAAGCCTCCTAGTAGCAAAGAGTTGATACATTGTAGTTTTTTTTTTGGAGCATTTCAACTTTATACCTTTAGTAAATCATATGTACTTAAGCCTTTTCATTTCATAAGCACATAATTATAATAAACTACACATAATGGTGATTGTGACATTACTTAAAGTTAAAACCCAAGTATTTGTTCTTATCATATAAGTGGCGTCTTAAATTTCTGCACTCAGGATATAAAGTCTGTTATAGGAAAAAGTAAAAAAAACATTGGTAAAAAAATCATAGGGATATTTCAGTTTTCAAAGTTTGCTGAATGGATTGAAACAATATTTAGGAATGACAGCTTTATTGAAACCCAATGTTTAAATGTACACCTTTTTCAAGGGTTCACAGCATAATGAACCACAAATGTTTTAGATGTTTCTTCAACAATTACTGGCCCAAGATTACAATTTTATTAAAATATAAATTAAACAAAAAACTTCTGAAGGCAATTTTACACTTTCAATTTATACTGGCCCAATTTTACACTTTCAATTTACACTGGCCCAAAAGAAGAAACTTTCCAGATTTGAAGCTACTTTTGACCAAATGAGTTGCGATTTCTTTCATTGAATATTATATAAATTTATCTCTTCAGAATTTTATCCAGTGCTATAAACCTTCTCAAATGAAGCATTAGGTTTCATTAAAGCTGTCATTCCTGTAGATGGTTTCCATCTTTCAATCCATTCTGCAAGCTTTTAAAATTGATATATCCATAAAAAAAAAATCATTTTGAACAGCTTCTACTTATGACTTCCACCTGTAACTGAGGTTCAGTCAACTTAGGAGATATAAGTTTATACATATAAAGTTCCCCCTGCATTTATTTGTGATATTGCTTGTATGTATTACTAGAAATGTACCATAAGTTTTATCTAGAAATTTCTGTTGAGGTAAAAAGCATTTCTTGGACATCTATATGTAACTAGATTGTAATGATATTTAAATTTATACATGAAAAGAAGAAAAGGGTACAAGTCGTTCTGTCTCGGTGTACAATAGTTTTGAAACACAAAGTTTGGTAAGCCATGTTAACCTTATAAATTAAATTGATAGCCCCCCTGATGGCTCAGCATTAATTCTGAGAGCTTATATCACTAAAAATTGAGTTTTGTTACCTGTGATGGACAGAGCACAGATAGCCCATTATGTAGCTTTGTGCTTAACAACAAAGAAACAAAATTAAATTAATAAAATATATTAATGTTTTGATACATCTTTTATGCAAAACTACTTTCATGTAAAATTTTAAAGATACAAACAACCACTTAAGTTACAATAATTATTTGTAAAAAGAGTCAAGAGTATCTATAATATAATTCACAGGTTATTTTTACAATGTTACGTAGTAACAAATAAACTTAACCAATGTAATGTTTTTAGAGACTGTTTCTTGTACATCATTATGAACTAATTAGTCATGTTTCTAGAAAAATGTAGTCAATAAGTATGTGTGTTTGTATAGAGCCTTTTCCACTTAGCTTTATTCCTGATTTTAAATTAACTTCCTTCCTGAAATAATTGTTTTGATAAATGTATTTATTTTCATAGGACTCGTAACGATGGTGATCTTCCGGACTTGATGCATGCCTTTGCTTAGATCATAAACAGAAAGCCTGAGTAATTCTTTGTATGATACATTAATGGAGAGAATGGCTTCTCTGATGTTCTCAGAGTAGCTTCTAGTACGTGATAATTATTAAAAATAAAAACTATGTTTTAAGGTAAATGTAACATGGAAATTTTGCTATCTTCATATCAGCTGTTGTATACTGTACAGTCTTGCTTGATACTGATTTGTAATATTGTGTGTGACTGTATTTTATCATTGTATATACAGGATGAATTTTGTTTCAATAGTTTTATTTTGAATACCTTTAGTATTGTTGTAGTAGTAAAAGGTGTTTCCTAATCTTTACGTCTCTTTTTAAATAGTATTATATTCAAAGCCACAACTTCCTGAAATAGCTTAGCTGGCTAAATAATTACAAATCAAGAATACTAATACACTTGTAACCGAAAAATCCCCAAATAAGGTGCTTTATACATAAACAAATATGCTTACACGTGTTAAAGATGATACACTGAGGAAATTATAGATGAAAAGCAATTCATTTGTTGTTTTTACATCCCCCAAAAAACAAAAACAGAACCATAGAACTGGGTAGGTCATTTTTAACCAACCTCAAGTATAAGATCAACAACTTTAATGCAGAATAAAAAAAAACATACAAATGGTTCAACTTGTGTGATACTTAATAGTTGATTGATTTCTTAAAACAAAATTATTTTTAGTTATGATACTACATTTGAAGTACATTTTTTATTTATGACACTACGTTTTATGCACATATTTTTAGTTATGATACTACAATTTAAGCAAGTATTATTTTGATGATTCCACATTTTAAGCACATATCTTAAATGATGATTGAATATATTGATTAACTGCTACTTGAGAAAACAATAGCAAGCAATGTAATTAATATGCTTAGTGGTGACATCAGCTTGAGACCACCATTGCAGGAAATACCTGAAATGAAAGAATTAACATGAGTTGAAGATAAAAGATGGTTATGTTTTGAAATTTACTATTTTATAACCATCATAATAAGTTTTTAATGAAAAAAAGTGCAAAATTTAAAGTCATGTATAAATAGAAACTATTTAAGCTAGAGACATATGTAAAACATAATTTACAAGTTAAAGTGGTGTTAAATGGGTATCTTTTGGATTTTACTTTGCAAGAAATTTGTCAGCTAAGACTTGCAGATTTTCAGTTAACTTATTCATTCTATTGGTGATTAGCAACAGCAGATGCTTGTGAATAAGGATAAAAAAAAAATTCAAAACCTGTAGGAGCTCTATTTACCAACATGTACGAACATGGAAATCACCAACCATATACTAATCTCATACTATATTAGGATTTAGAATATGGATTTGTCAATCAAAGAACTTATAAATTCAACATGCTAGTCATAGTAGGTTGAAAGTAATGAATTGAGACAGTCCACATAAGACACATCCATTTTATTTTATATTAAATGCAACAGATATACTCAAAAGTGAGGCTTAATGTAAAATATATAATAACAGTAGTAGTTTTCCCATAAGACAAAGACATTGGCCGATACTGTAAAATTATTTTGATTTTATAAATATTTTTATAGTCTGTGTGAACATTTTTCTTTAGATCTTATGTCACCGTGTTATTCTTGAGCATCACGATACTGAAACTGTCCAATTTCAGTAAAATGTACTGTAATGTTATTATACTTCCAATACTATAAATATGTTGTTTTGTAAGTGCTTAAGCATTTGATTACTAAAATTGGTACTTGTAGTTTTTTAACTAAGTTGCATTTTCTACTAACATTATTACATTTTTGTCCAGTGCCTTATAATAACTAATTAAAAATTAATCATTAGGTAATTTTTTTATACATACACATTAGTGAAAACGATCAAGAAAAGCTTACATAAATCATGTTATCAATATATTGCTTGTTACCTTGGAAATAAAAGGATCAAGGTAAACATGAGTGACAAGTTCAATTTATTTCAGCTCACTATTACAGGGTAGTGTATATGTTAACATGATATTTTAAGGTGTAATTTTTAATGATTTCTGATACAAGATAAGCTAAAGTAAGAGTAATTGTATGGTTTAAGTCAGAAGTAATAGAACAGTAAAATGTATAAGCTGACAATTTATATAGAAACTCTCCAGATAACTAGCAGGCTGAGTTTTCTATATTAAGATTTTGTGAAAAAGCAACATCTCTTTTTAGTTGCAAAGAAAAAGGAATATAAGGCTATAAATGAAAAAAGTTCAGTACCTGCTCATAAAACTCATAGGTACCTCAAGAACAAAACAATTGCTTAAGAGCAAATGCAATATCAAAGTTTAGATATATAATGTTAATACCAAGAAGGAGGGTGTGTGTGAACTGGCAGCCATTTATAAAATGTTTACTGCGTACAGTTTCAAACATTTAAAATTATAACGGTTACATAAGTTAGACCCTAAATGTTTTTGAATCTTATAAAAATTTCTTACCTTCATGCTCCACTGTGAATTTTATTTGGCTTGGGTTTCTTTGAACAAAACATTCAAAACCTGAAATGTGTAGAAAAAGTTTTAATTTTAATACCTAGCTTTATAAGTTTGAAATGAAATGAATCTATCCTTATTTTTGCATATTTTTAAACAAGGATACCAAAATTGGATCAGAAAATTAAAGATCTTATCTTCAGCAAAATATGTAGAACTGGTTAAGATTGTTAGCATTGGTGTGTTTATATTTCTATAAGTGTAATGGAGACCTGACCACTCCTCTAAAGAAATATCAGGAAACAATTAGGGGTTTTTTTGCTTTCAAATACTTAAGAATTTTATTATAATGATAAAAATTAGCTGTCTAGTAACAGGAAGTGTATTTCTTGCTACATCGTGATGTGTATTTGACAACAAAGTTTCATCTACTGACAAAGGTTTTGAACAGATCACCCAACAGTTATGTCTGTTCTTTAGTTAGCTTACACAGTTAGAAATCAGGGTGAGAAACTTAAGGAAAATAGTTAAAATATGAATAACATTGACAGCCTGAGCTTGTAGAATTTTTTGGCTGTTCAGATATGGCTTTTATTGTTAATAAGAACTTCTGAACAGATGTAAACCATGCGAGATAGGCAATATTTGCAAATAAGGCTATATTATAGCAATTTAAAATCTCAGCTGTGACATCCATAACATAAGGAAGATAAATTGTAGCAAATAATTAATTTGAATCTAAGAGTGTCATATAAGTAAGTACAAAACATTTGAATTGTTTAATAAATTAAAAGATTATATTTTCAACAAGTCTGTGTTATCTGTTAATCCCACAAGATATTCAAGTTGAAAGCCCAATACATAATATTTGTTATGTGGAATGGGATTAACAGTAAAAAATGACTACGGGTTTGAAAAATCCTGCCTAAATGGTACCAAACAGGTGGAATGGTGTTTACAATTAGAGCTATAGAGTAACTTTGTGCAAGTAGTGATATAGCTTCAGTCAAGTAAAATTTGAAAGTGAATTATTCATTTGAAGCTTCAATGTGCAATATAACTTGTAGGAAAAGCATACAATAAGAGTTCACTTTAAGAATAAACTTCATGAAGAAATGACTTTGTAACAAAATTAACTATCAAACAATTTTAGAGATATGTAGAGGAATTCCTAAGCATCATGCCAATTTTCATAATGAAAAAAATAATTGGATATGGTTGTAGCATAATCTGGTGAACCAGAATCTTGGAAAGAAGTTTTGTGGCTTAAACAGATAGTCAGGTGCAGTATTAGGTATTGGAACATTTGTTATATAACCTTAATGAATGTTGTGAAAGGAGAAAAGTAGAGATATACAGTGAGCTTAAGTTGATTCTAAATCAATAATTTCTTTTCATGACATATTTATTGATTATGAGGACATTTCTCAAATAGGTGTAGAGATTAAGGATATACAAATAACATATGTCATAGGATTGACACTGCTAATATGCTAGAGCTTTAGATATCCAAAGACTGCTAGACAGGAAGAAAAATTCGAGAAAAGAGCAACTAAGAACAATGAGACACTCATCTTGCATATCAAGAAGCATGGGCTTACCCACTTCTGTGTCAATCTTAGAAAATAAGTAATGCAGTAAAGAATAATAGTGCACAACTTTTTATTTAAACAGTAGATACTTTCAGGTAGAAGTAGATACAAAAAGTAAAGTGAAGAAAAAGAGGATATGCTGGATGGTCAGTTTGTTGATATATTATTTGAATTATACAATGTTCCAGAAGCTTAACTGATGAATTTATTTTGTTATGGTTTAGTTACTGTGACATACTGTCCTAGTCTACATGTATGAAATAATAACAAGTGTAAAACATTTCATTGCTGCTTAGGCCTACAGAATGTATTGGATAAACTAGGTAAGGAAAATATCCTATTTAATTTAAAAAGTATGATATAATACTTTGTCAAAGAGTGTCTTTTCCAGAAATTGTTCAGTGGAGGAAGATCAGATTTAACAGTAGTTGAGCTTGTAAAGAATAGTCATGAATTTCACCCTTCCTTAACTAGAACAGAAAATATCCGTATTTGGATATATTCAAGTGATATTTTATCTAAATATCATGCTGTTTCTGCATGTAGTTGTGATATTATTATTGAATGGATATCTCAAGGTCATAACATGTGCTAATCCTTTTACGATGGTAAAAGCTACATACTGCAACCTTTGTCTTTAGGTCTAAAGCTAGGGTGTTTGTTTCTGTATGAAGTTTTTGGATATTAGCTTATTCAAAAGGCAATACAGAAACATGTACACCTGGCCTGGCTTAAAATTGCATGTAAAACATTGGATGTAACATGTGGACTTGTTGGGTGTTTGACTTCCTTTGTTTTGCTATGGGTATATTATCCAGGTTTTTCACAGTTCTGTTACTTGCTTTTGATTTCTCTTCGCCGTTGTATGTGTTTTGTAGCACTCAACCCTAGGATCCAAATGAGATAGTTGAAGAAGCATGACCAATATAGGTAACAGAACACAGTGTTTGTGTGTGCAAGTAAAGAATTTTTGTGTTTCAAACTACATTGTGTTTGCTTGTTTTTCTTTACTGCCTGTGTTCAACTTATGCTTGCTTAATAGTCCTGAACCTGCAATTTGTGGGAACTTTTGATTTTTCTGTTGAACATCAGTGTACCTGAATACCACAAACCAAAACAAAAAAAAGACACATGTAAAATTAATTGATAATATAGTAAATTTTGTGAAGTCATTTTTGATTAACCCCTTATTCATAAAATATTTGAAAAACGTATGTTTTAAACAGAAGGTGGTTAATAAACATTTACCATTCTCATGGAGAGTTCTAATTTAACAATGTTATCAGACTTCTAAATATCCAGTTATTTTACTTGCAAATATAACTATCTATAGAAGGATCTGTAGTTTTAAAGTAAAGTAATGTTTCAACACTGTTCGTAGCAGCACAAACGAATCTCCAAACTGAAGACGTAGCATTGACTGACGAGGTGGATGATAGGTTTCTGGAATCACAATGCCCAAATATAAAAAGGATTACCCATATTCCGGGCATATGACTATTATAATAAAAATGCTGATTACTTTATCAAAGATGTTTTGAAGTTAAGATGGATGCAATGAAGGAAGAGGTTGGTTTAAAGTAAGCCAAAAACTATATTTCTAGAAGTGGCTTTACAGAATAGTGGTGAATTTTAATATTTAAAATTACAGTATTTTCAAGCTAAGAATTGTGATACTTTATTGACATTAAAAATTGTTCAGTGATCCAGGAAGTCAATATTGGCTAACAGTGGTTAGTATCAGCCCAGAAACCAAGATTTATTGGTCTCAGTTTAATTAACTGAAGCTATGTGACAATGTCCTGTATAGAAAGGGAATGGTACAAGAAGTCACAAAAACAGCTGGAATTTGATACTATCACTATTATTATACTCAAAATCACATCATTATACCAAGTATGTTCCACAGCTATTCACTTTATTGTAAAGAAGACATTTGATAGTCGTGGTTGCATAACGTGATGTAATATTGTTGGTTCACGATGCCTGGCTAGTTAAAAGTTAACAGAACTTAAAAAGTCAAAGTTAACACAGATTTCATGAAGGATTGTAAAAAAATATTAAATTCTTGCCAAATTTCCTTTAAAATTCATTTAGCATGTCTAGGCTGTTGTGCTTTTTGCCAGTGTGGACAACATACAGAAACTTTTTACAGAACCTGAGTGACTTTAGGTGCAACTAAGTTATAATTGTGATTTTGTTGGATGGAATAACTTAAAGTTATTGATTTAGATGTCTGAACTTCTATTCAAACGAAGAAGTTATGTGTAATGTAAGTTTAGGTTTACTTCTATATTCAAATGAAGTAGTTATGTGTAATGTAAATTTAGTTTTACTCACCATAGCAAGTGGCACTAACTTGTTGAATTTCGGAGTCTCCACGAAGTCCTTTTATGGAAAAGTAAAATGGTGGGCAGTTCCAGATACTGTAGCCTAAACATACAGCACACAGATTAATCATTTTTTGAAAAACATATAACGTAAGTCAAGAGCTAGTACAATAGATATATTGATAAATTAACGTAAACATGCCCTTTTTATATTACTGATAGTTTGGGTGATGTACCTTTAAATCGTTTATTTAAAACAAAGAATAATGAAAACTGTATTCTATAATTAGTTGTGAAAACATAAAAAAAATATGCTGGTGAGAAAAAAGTTCTAGATCAGAAAATTATATAATTCTGCCTGCTATCAATTTTTTTTCGTATCAACTCCTGCTATATTTTTGCGCTGTATTGATAATTGCATTATCATATGAATATGTTGTGCACGTGGATGTGAAAATAAAGTTAAATTGTTTTACGAAATTTAATCGTAAGTTTTACATCATATATATATATGTATGTATGTTTATAGTAGAATATGTGATATAAGAAGAAGCATGTTGAGAATACGTAACTAAAAAATATTTCTTAAGAAATAGTATTACTTGATGAAACGTTGTAGAATGGACGGCAACTGCCTATTGTAGAGACACAAGTGTAGAGGACGTTTCAAAAGTATTCCGCTTTTCGTCTTAAGACCTGAAGACGAAAGACTTTCGAAACGTCGTCCTCTACACTTGTGTCTCTACAACAGGCAGTTGTCGTCCATTCTATAAAGTTTCATCATTAATACTCTGCCTAAAAAATCTATCAAAGAATAGTTTTACTTGATTTATTGAATAAATGCAATGATAACTTTCAATGGCTGTTGCATATTTTATATGCATAAAAATTTTATACAACAAATAACCATACCTTTGCAGGGGTTTTTAATCTTGAAGTAAATATCTTTATCTAAAAAAAAGAAGAAGAAATGAATTAATAAACTGGAAGTTGTTGCATTTCATTTAATGAAGTAAGTCGTAAAGATTTAACTTAAATGAAAGATCGTTGCCTTTTATCATATCATTTAATGTAAACAAAAATCTATACTATTATTCTGCTTGTTTGTATGTACGACCGTTACTTTCTGATCGAGAACCTGCTGCACAAGCACGCGTAGTTAGAATGTTTCCCCAAGAAAAACCGCGCATGCGCATTATTCACTCGACGACAAACAGTCTGCCTGCGGCAGAGAGCTGCAAAGCCTAATGATCAAGTCGCTACAATTGCTGTAAGAAACAAGAAGTAACAACAAAAGGAGAATGTAAATGTATTTTACTAACCATTTTGTACAACAAAATATTATAAACTTATCAAAGTTTTTAAAAAAGGTTTGACGTTGGGTCGTAGAATAACTTTATAAGTTTATTTATCGATAGTATTAAGTACAGTAAAGTTGAGTCCTAACTAAACTAAAAAAAAAAAAGGTACACAGGTTACAGTGTTAATTTATCTGTTTATCGAACTTAGGCCTAACATAAGTTGTTTTATAAAGTACGGCCTATATACAAGTGGATTTACACATTTCGTTGTCTACGATTACAATTCGTTTGTATTGTGCTAGAAATTTTATATTTAAAGAAGTGCTGTTACGTTAAAGATACTAATTTGACCGGAAATGTTTTGCGGGTCTCTGCTAGTAAAAAATAAAATGAAATTAAAGAACAATTTATTGACTTGCAAATATTTGTATTCACAATTCAGGTAGATATAAGTAATGATTAAGAAAACGGTTTTGGTCTTTACTTTTAGTGTTAAAACGAGTTAATAGTATCCACAGACCAAATATTGATCTCAAACACAACGGCACTAATTACTTAACAGAAACTTCCTGGCATTTCCAGTACTACTTATGATTTTAATAGTTACTTGGAGAGGTTGCTTTGACGGGTCATGACAGTTTCACATTTTTTGAGAGATGTGTCCTTAATTAATTATTTGAAGAAGTAAACTTACTAGCTTTCGAAGTTTCTTTGCAGTTGCTTGGGTGTTTTTCTGGGGTGTTAGTGCTGCGACTGTAACAAACCTCAACGTGGCCTGTCTGAGGCGTGACACTCTTGAACTGAGAAATTATATTGCACTTCTCAATGAATATTTTCCAAAAATTTCAATAACTATTTTATTTTAAATAAAATTATACCGGCTTTCACAATTAAATTTTTTTGTGCCTAATGTCTCTGTAGAAGAAACCATTATTTGTTTCTTTAGTTAAAAATAATTCAATTATAAATCATAGATTGCCATGACTGATTAGATTTCAAACAATAGCGCCAGTTAAAAAAGGATATATGTACACAGCGTGGTCACAAGTAAATAGACACCACATTTTTAGTCATTTAACTGATTTATGCTAACTAATTTGTGTTCACAGAGCACTATATAAATG